AGGCGGTGGGTAACCCGAGACGATAGCTATACGAATCCCGTTGAATATTTTACGAAACGCTCTTCGATTGACCCCCCGGACTAAAACATTCGGCCCGTAGAAATGTAATTTGAACATCGATTCGTTTCCTTTCTTATCAGCCTCTTAGTCCACCACTCAAACCCGAATGGGTTCGTTCGTCTGGAATTATGATTGGATAACAAATTGAATTTGAACTATTCCATAATGAAACCTACCAACGATGACTGTGAAATTCCACTCCCTCGCGAAGTGAGCTTTCCTTTGTGTTAAAACATTACGCGCCGGTGAGTTTCATAGCTTATAACTTTGTGAAGAACACCTAGGCGTAAATAATATCCGATTTTGTACTCAATAATTAAATAAAAGGCATTACAAATCAACTTAACGTGTCTTTTTGTGTGATTTGGTCGATTAAAACTAGCCTGGGTGCATATCCCGGCTGTTTTGGTACGTTCATGAATATTCTTTTCTGACGTACATCTAGGCCAAAATAGCATCAAATTTGGTACCACCTAAAATCGTAATCATTGACGAAAAGAATTTACGAATCTTCTAGGCAAGTATTTCCATGTATATGGTCGTTTTCAATAATGCTGGTCGCTTATCCTCGCTGTTTTTGGATGCTCCTGAATGATCGATTCTAGGCAAAACTGTTATTAAATTTTATACCACCTAAAAACGTAATTATTGAAGAAAAGACGATACAACTCACCACACTAAATATTTCCACATGATTTGGTCCTTTGCAATAATTCGGGTTGCATATCCTGACTGTTTGGTATTTCAGATGCGTATCGTTTTATGACATGTGGTCGTTTCCAATTTTATTTTTCGCATTTCTTCTCTATTTTTGGTATGTCAGACATGTTTAACGTGTCGCCACATTTAGTATGGTGTGTCACTGCTTTTCAGCCGTAGATTTGCCACTACATGGTCATATCAACCGCACGGGGTTTTTGCAATAAGTTCATTAAATGACTACACTGGGTTGAAATTCATTGCAGATGAGATTCAAACCCGAAACCCTTCCAGTGATGAGGCACTGTGTCAAAGCTCCAACCACCAACCTTTTTTTTCTTGACCCAGCACACCCTAGTATCTCTAAGTCCTAATCCAGGCTTTATCTTTTGGATGACTCCTTTAATTAGATTTTGTCTATATGAAACAAACCAAGTACGGGCAATTTATACGAGAGAAATTTCCTGATAGGTGACACCTGACGGGTACAATCTCTTTCATGGAAGTATCCCATAACTGCGGCCAAATTGGACGTAATGGGCGTGATTGCGATGTGATCCTGAGTTTTACCGTTGGGAAAATTTTTTCTTGGGGTGTCCTTTCGGTGGGGATCCCTTTCTTTTATCACCATGGTATCCTTGGCATAAGATCAATGGATTTAGCTATAAATCACTTTCAAGTCATTTGCAAAAAGTCCACAATTACTTTCCGCCTTCACCCAGGTAAACGCGATCTGATCCCATATGTGCAAGGTTCCTTATTCTTGCTCTATTCGCTTTCCCCGATTATTTAGATCTGCAAGGCCGTCAAAAGTAACCTTACTATAATTCATGACATTAAATGTTTTTAATAAGCTTGTGTTATTGCAATTTCATTTGCCCATTCCAACGCTTTGACGAAAACCAGCTGCTTAGTCTGAATGAACACTTTTTAATGTAATTTATATTTAAGCTTCGGCACTTTTATTATAATTTTTGGACATCGCATTTTTAGCTAATAGGAATGATGCTTCAAATGACGTAGTATTGTAACCTTTAACTATTCTCATGGGTGATCCTCTCAAACAATTGTAATGTTTGGCCTTCACGTTTAGCGTTGAACCTGGCCTGCGCTTCATAGATGAATCGACTACCTACAACCCGATAATTCTGATATTTATTTTTATTATGTTTTGATGGGGTTCGTATGTCGTATCGAACTCGACCAAAACAGCGAAGATAGGCAAGAAGCAAGCACGATTGAAAACTACTTGGGCCACGTCTATACTGCATAACCTTATAATTTAAATATGGCATTTCAAAGGATTAAGTGTTGCCAATCCCGTTTGTAGATTCGATTCCATTCACATTAAGTCTGTGGGATAACAGATTGTGGAGAAGACCAAATAGGCTCACAAGGGTTTAACAATATTTACCAAGTTACACATGCGAAATTCGAAATGATTTACGTGTTGGCTGTTCAGGAAAGGTTAAATCATCCCCAGCGTACAGAGGAGTCTGCAGTATCACGGATCAATAACTAGGAAATATTGCTATTCAGCAACTGGTGTCAGTGATGATTCAAACGGCAATCAAAGCACTTACGCTCGGTCTACTCGTGCGTGGAAATCGCAGGATGAGAACAGATTGCGCGTGCCGACGTTGCCGTCGCTTATCGGATTTAAAACTCACCCCTTCGTCCTACAAAACAATAACAGAAAATAAAAAATTGATTCGTCGTTTAAATAGGATATTAAATGTGAATAATGAAGCATTGACCAGTCGGGCTTATTACGCAGGGTGGGCGACCAAGCCGCCAGTCAATGTAATTTCCGAACAACGACTTCAACTGATGTTGATGATACAACATTATTGTTATGTCACGAGCGAATTGATTAACTTAATTTAAAATAATGTGGTTTTTAAGAGGAGACCGGCTGTTTAAACTTGGTTATGGTATCCTTCTCAATGGTGATGGTAATAAGGATACTAGGAAGCGGGGTTTGTCCTCCCCAGGCACTGCAGCCTTCTGGCTTGTTCTAACTTCCTAGTTCCCTGGTTCAGTGCAATAGAATCAATCCTTCTTCTTAGAAGTATCAGGTCATTGATACAATTTCATTCCCTCGTTTATTTTCTGTTCGTTAGGTTAAATCTCCGTGGAGCCGTTGCTTCCCATTCGAAAATGATATGGGTGGTTGTTTCCCCCTCCTTTTTGCATAATCTGCATATGGGATCATTGTTATACATGCCCATGTTGTGTAGATGTTTTCTCAGATGCCAGTGACCGGTTAATAGTCCTATCACTCCTCTGAGTTTAGCTCTCTCCAATTGCAGCAGTGAGTTTGCCAGTCTTGGTGAGGTTACTATAAGTTTACTATGTCTAGCACTGCTAGAGTTTATCCACTTCTCCTTTTGTTTTGTTTGTGTATTTGTTATACCATATTTGTTTTTGTTATCCCAAGTGTAGGTTCAGGGGCCTATCTATGGTCGTGCAGATCCTCCTCTGGCCAGTGTGTCTGCTTTTTCGTTACCCAAAATTCCTCTGCCCTGGCATCCAAGATATCATCAGATTTGTATTTCCCCAGGTTTTGAAGATTTTGGATGCATTCACTGACTAATTTTGATGTGATTTTTTTACATGCTAATGCTTTAATGGATGCTTGGCTGTCAGATCGTATGAGGATTTTTTTTGCCAGGGTAACCTCTTTTAAGATTATCTAGGGCACAAGCGTTGATGGCGTGAATTTCTGCTTGAAAGACCGAAGTGTACTTCCCTACCGTTTAGACTTAAAAAGAAGTAAGAAAAGTCAAGTATTTCCTGCCATACTGGAGGGGTTAACCGTTGGGTGTCTTGAATGATAGGGTCAAACCTCATTACAGATAATTAATAATTAAATAATTATGTACAACAATTCTTTACAAGATTAAAAATGCGTATGAAATTATAATGTATTTGTTTATTTATTTATTCTGTTCTCTAGTCAAGCTTATGTTTTATAGGACAGGCAAAATAATAAAAATGGTAAAAATTCAAATATTATATTATAATATTGTCAAAATTATACTCTATTGTTTAGAAAAATATACAAATAAATAAAAAACATAATTTCTTCAAATTATTCACACATAAAAATCTATGGGCTATACCGGGATTCGAACCGCAGATTGCGCTTGGCAAATTTGAGTCAGAAACCATAACAACTTAAAAATAATAAAATACAGGATTTCAACACTAATATCCTTCCTGGTTTTCTCAAAATCAACTCAGCATAGAAAAAAATTAACACTTTTTTATCACTAGTTCTACTTTCTTACGTTTTCATTGGCGTATTCATCAAGTCAATTCGATTTTATGAAAAATAGCGAAAACCATTTGATCTGCTCGACATTTTACAAAAAGTTAAGTTCAAAAGTTCTCATGAATTTATTTGTCTCTTAGTTGAAATGTTCTTTAATTACGAAGATAAAGGAAAAGAGACATCGTCGGGGATCCGTCCATTGTTGGAGGACGAGCATCATGTCTTTTTTTAATGGCCGTCCCCTTGGGGAGAATTTCGGTTTGTCCAATTTCGCCCCTTAAAAGCCCTCTCCCAAACTTCCTTTTAACCTAATTAGACCCTGGGCCACCGTCCTATGCCCTGGGAGAGTCCTTTCTAAATTCCTTTTCGTCAGAAAAAAAAAACACTCGAACTAATTCATAACGTGATTTTGGTCAGCCAATTCATTAAACCGTTATCTTACGTTATCACTAATGAGTATAGTTAATTTCGTTGTTTTATTAACTCCGTTTTATGGGACATAACAGGCATGGGTAGTCACGCGAATTGATAATTGTCGAATCCTTTCATAAGCACAAGGGTGTGACAATTTCGTGAAAAGAATATATTGGAATTCAGGAAAGGGAAATCTGGGAGAACCGTAATTTAACCACTGTGGAAACTCAGCAATGTGGTATTTATTGTGGTTCCTGTAATAATAACCGACTTGACAATGAGATATGATTTTAACTTGACATAACGTACATTGTTCGCTTAGTGCTGTTGAATTACTCTGCTTTTTTTCTTACACAGTTCTGTCATGAGTGACAGTTCAAGGATTTAAATTTATTCTTTTACTTGATTTTTATTTTACAGTATTTTAAACATTTGAAGTTTTTTCTTAAAGCGTTGTACCAAATGATGTAACTGTTAACAAAATTTTTCTTTTTTTCTTTTTTAACCACTGAGAAATAGCACATTATTTTGTTTCATGTAAACCTGAAAGAGGACTCATTATGGCCAGTCCCAATGATATGTGGTAAGTTGGGGATGAAAGGAGTTGTTTTTGATTTTGACATGTTTCTTTTAGTTGTGCATGCGGTGGCATGTCATCTATTGTAATACATACTTCAAGCTTCGAATATTGTGTCAAATAAGCTACAGTAGAAAGAAGTGTTTAAACCGAATTGATTTTTCTACTTTACAGTGTCAAGAGTGTAATTTTAATATTTTCCTTCGCAATATTAAAGCTAAAACAATTTCCAATGAAGAGTTAACGATGTAAGAAACTTTTCTTTTTTATTGTCATTTTTGTTCATTTAAATCAATGTCAAAAAAGATATTTCCGCCCTAGCAACAAATTTATAAAGCAGAGCTTATTGGCGGGTCAAAATATAAAATGTTAATGGCGTTTTGACATGGCTCAAGCTCCAAAATGTTCTTTTTGCTATAGCTTGACGTCTCGTAGATTACGGAGGGGAGTTTTGTTGAATAAATCGAGTGAAGGCATGACTTAGAAGTAGGCCCTTTGTATGAATTATTTATTGTAAGCTTTCCAAAAGGGATTCACAAATAAAATAGAAAAAAAAACCTTTTAGTCTTTATTTTTCTTAGATGAGTGATTTATTAGATTTTCTAGTTAGTTGATCAGTAGTAAGATTTTAAAGAGTGTTTTTGTGTAATTTTGATTTGAAAGATGTAGACAATTTGAAAATAACAATGTTTAAAACAATATTTATGTTTGAACTTTGTGCCTGTAGTATTCAATAGTTAAATGAGTCCAAAAACTCAGTTCAAAAGATTCTGCCTACAAATTGAGATGATGTCCCGATTCTAATACTAAAATTCTAAAACTAGATAAATAAAATTCAATACAAAAAATGGCGAATAATTCAAAAATTTAATTAAACAGTATCCTTATCACCACAAAGCTCTGAAATCTTCCCAAAAAAGGTATAGTTTTCTTAACCATATGACACAAACCACCATAGCTCATCCTTGGAACCATCTCAATCCAATGTATATTAGTTTGTCCATGTATATTTATGTCAACCATAAAATAAAACCCACCCTCAAACCTCAAAAATCTTAACCTATCTCATATCATAACAACAAAACTCCTTCTGAAAAAACTGCAGTTTTTGGTGAACCAAAGCTCAACAAAACAAGATACCCAAACGTTAGGAAGCATACAAAGACTAGTAAACATATTTATCACAGGGACAATGAAAGCAACCACTTCAATGGCACTATAAACATTGATAATCCCACTTCTATTCGAAATATTTATTCAAGAAGAAGCAAGGAAAAACTCATTTATGCTCCTTGCATGCTATGAGGAGTGATAAGACTATATACCGTCACTGGCATCTGAAAAAACACCTGCACATGTTCAACGATGACCCCATTTATAGGTTATGCAATGAGGAGGAATAAACAGCCACTCATGTCATCTTTGAATGTGAAACAACTGCTCAATGGAGACCTGGGATATAAAGAAAACCTAGGGACAACAATTGTAGCAATGACAGTCAATAACGTAGTATTTCTAAACAGAAGGATCGAGTCAATTGAACCGTACTGAGGAACCAAAAGTACAGTAAACTAGAAGGCTGCAATACTCAGGAAATATAAAACCCCCACTTCCTAGATTTCCATCATCATCTCCTCACCATTATGTCAAAATGGGTGTTCTGCTAGTCAACATTCTGGTCCCATTCTTTTTGCATGTATGCACTGCAGACATTCGTATAAGTCATTTACGCAGCCAGTACTACCACCCTTGCAACAACAGACCCAGAAGTGGCTTTCAGAAACCTCCAAGACCATCTTTCCTGTTTGGAAGAATGGTTCAAGAAATGGAGGATCAGACTCAAGGAAGCCAAATCACAGGAAATAACTTTCTTCTTTTGCCATATTACCACTCTCCAATCTATTACAACTCGTTCCTCTCCCAAAAGGAGCACTGTAATACACACTCGCCTCAAAAGAATCAAACTGAACAGATGATATGAATTATTCAAAAGATTACTTGACAACAGAAAAACAAATGCCTTATTTACACTATAATCAATCTGGAAATGCGTTCAAGCAAGCGTTCTAACCTCCAAAGAATCCAGTCACTCCAGTCCAAAATCCTTTGAACCACTGACCAAGCTTCCTACTTAGTATCTAAACTCACAATCCATTCAGACCTCTCAATCCTATTTGTCTAGAAACTGCAAGAAGTCGATAAAGACGCCAATATTAAACCATGTGCCATCATCCCCCCCATCCCTTTTCATCCCAAACTCTTCCCAACAATCACCATTTTCTCCCTAGTTAGAAATGTGAATATGGGTGTAATTAAAGGATTACTTTTTCAATCCGACAGTGTTGTAATAAAAAATTTATAGAGACAACCCACTTGCTTGTAGCACTCGAGTGTTGTTGAAACATAGTAATAATAATATAAGACAAACTATTCAACAAAGTGAGCATTACAAAAATTCAACCAGTATTACGTATATTAGTTGTTTGAGTGTTTTTATTTTGCATGAAATACCTTAAGTTGTACACAAATAACAAAGAAGAATATAGAAAAAATCAGTTTCGTCCTTTGCCATAAAATGGTTACACGTAAAATAAAGATGTGATGGCTTAAATAAATAACAAGTTCATAAAAAGACACGACCTTAATTACCCTTTGTACAAAGGTTAAATCGGCCAAAACGGACCACCTTTACACTTTTCACTGTCACTTTTCAAACAGCTAATTTTTTTAAACTTGATGCCTACAAAGATTTATAATTTAAACTCTAATCCTAGTTTTTTAATGTGGTAACAAAGCTCTTTGGACCTAAATCCAACTAGAATAAAAACCTCTCCAGATTCTTAATTTGATGCAAATGTTCAGTTTGCTTTAAGATTGCTAGTAATGCTTACTTGATGCACAAAACTGTTATGAAATTGTTTTGGGAAAAACATCGCGGAATTAGACGAACCAAGATGTTTAATAAAATCACCAGCCAACTTAAAAACTTAACAAGAAAATTTTTAATTGTAATTAATATTTTCATTAAATTTCCTCCTGTGGTCTGCGTAGTGATGAACCTGCAATTTAGTCATTACTGATCATTTTTCATCTGCATATCCACACTGGGCTGGTCAGATGCATTTTGGTATTTTGCCATTTTCACTGTGGCTGTGCTATTTATGATTTATTATCAAGTCTCTCAAGACACATTGAAGATGACAAGACACCAATCCAGAGAAGACAGGCAGACCAAATTACAATTTTTTTTTTCTACTAGTTGAAACTGTTTGTAAATCTCACTGATTAAATTGTTACATGTGTTTAACTACAATCATTTTTTTTTTTTTTATGAGGGTGTGTCATTTAGCCATTTTTGGCATGAGTAAAGAGTCAAAAAAGGAGAAAAAATTCAAACTGGTTTTACTTTCAGCTGATCTTCACCTTAAATCCACTCGCCTTTTGCCTTGCTCCTATTTCCAGGTCCGGGTTATTTCAATTAAATAGTTTAACGACTGTTGCTAAATGACAAAAGCCCCTAGGCCAAGATCGATTACGAAACACATCCACAACATTCTATGATAATTAACAGGTTGATTTTGCTTTTCAGGGGACAGCCAGAATGGGATGCACAAGAGAACGGTGTACGAGCACAATCGTGTTGCGATGTGCTCACAGAAGAGGGCATTATGCCTTGCCACTGTTGTACTTTCCATTCTTTTCACCATATCGCTCATCATCGCCTACGCTGGACCCCAGACAGGTAATAATAAATCTTATTTTAAACCAATTTAAAATATTCTATTTATTTGTTCAGTATCCATTTAACTAGCGGTCAACCTTGTAACTTTTAAAGTATTAACTGATACGTCTTGGTCCTCTTCAGTAATTTTACAATATGCTGACTGTGTAACAATTAGTGCTTACAAGCATAACGTGATCTCAGAGTCGAGATGCTGGATGTTCAGGTCTCTGTGTGTCACTATTGCAATGTACCAAGTAGCAGCTTCCATATCATAGTTCTTTATTTTAAAGCCAATGTATTACGTTTGTATAACTTTCTTCAATACAGATTCAAATTCATTATTTCAATATGCAATATAGATTTTAATATATGATCAGAAAATCATTAGTTTATTTTGTATTAATAGTGGGGGAATTCCTTCTAAGTAACCAATATAGTTATTTTGAAGTCAATTTTTTTTCTTTTTATGATGCATACGTTTCAATTTAATTTTTCATCTAGCGACATGCCTAAATGTTTTATTGAATTTTGAGATAGAACTTTACCTCTGACAATGATTAGTTTGTCCTTTTAATTTTCTAGTTGTGTAAATGAACAAAAAAAAATTGATTTATATAAAACAAATAAAGATATTTTATATCAATACATTTGTCCAAAAAGTTTAAATGAGTTGAATTAGTAGGTTCTATGGGGAAATTTCAAGAATCATACGCATTTGATGCATGAAACCTCAAAACCATTCAACCCTTTGTGTCAATCCAGGGTTGCCATGAACATACAGGGGGCCACTAATTGCCGCAGTAATTTTTAATGACGCCCACCCATGCGGTGCTATCATATTCATTACAGAGGGGAGTGAGTTGTTCAGCTGTGGAATGGGCTGAAAAAGCTATTCAATCCTATGCTGCCACATTCAAATCAAAATGTACAACAGATACGAACAAATATAATTTTTATATGTATGTATAATGTAATATTTTTAATAAAAAAGCAAGAAGAATTTAACAGAAAACCTGGCTATAAAATACATTGAATCTTGCAAGAATTTTTTTGAAAACCGTTATATCTTAAAAACTCAAAATCTACTAATTAAAGAACATAAGAAATATTTCTATATAAATATAAAAATTGTAAGCTTTTTTATTACTTTATGCAGAGTCTTGAACGTACCTTAGGTCACATCCACCTATCTTCACTGCTTTGATTAAATCAGCAAAGACCAGCAGACCAGGATGATTGGATATGACCAAAAACTAAAATGTCTATCATCATTATTGTAAGTTTTTTACAAAATAACTATAGTTTATTTTGAATTTTAGACTGTCCATGTGCTGGCGAACGACCACCTTACATGGATGAACACGGACGGATTAATGGGTCAAGAAATATTATACCAATAGCGACCAATAACGAGCTGTTCCCTTGGAATAACCTCAGGCTTCCACATTATGTTCGGCCAACAAGGTATCATATCAACATCCACCCCAATTTGACCACACTAGATGTTAAAGGTAATTAATTTTGATTATTTTAACAAATAAAACGAAGTATTATAAGGATATTAATGGATAATCTAATTACAGGACAAGTGACAATAGACTTTCAAGTAGATAAAGACACTTATTTCTTAGTACTGAACAGCCAAAATTTAACTATCACTGACAAGGTATGAAAGTTTAATTACATCTTATTGTTAGATATGATTAAACAAAAAAGAGATTTTATAGATGGTGACTGACAGAAAAAGCCATAGGTTTCCCATAGCTAGAATGCTAGAATATCCTCCAAGGCAACAGCTTTACCTCGAGATGAAAGATAAATTCAGAAAAAAAGTTAACTATACCATAGTCATGAGATTCACTACAAGACTGAGCCGTGAAATGGAAGGATTTTATATCAGTAGTTACACGAATAAGGATGGTGAAAAAAGGTACGATATAGTTTCATCACGAGTGAAAACATTTTGATAATTGGTATCATTTTACAGATATTTAGCGACTACACACTTCGAACCGACATATGCCAGGTCAGCATTCCCATGCTTCGATGAGCCACAGTTCAAAGCGAAATTCAAAATGTCAATATTCAGGGACAGGTTCCACATCTCACTTTTCAACATGCCAATTATAAATACGGAAGATGCCGGATTCTACATGGGCACTGGGTTGGTGAGTAATGTGAAAGTCTGGTATACATGCAAGCAGAAGATAACGTTTTGACTAAATCTTTGTCCGTCTATATTTGGAACTGGTTTGCAATTTAAATTCTTTGACAAAATAAGTTTTAACTTGCTTTTGATATGTTGGAAGATACCAACTTAAAACATAAGTCTATTGCATTTCTTGAAACATGGAGCTATAGGCCTTATAGGACCCTGGCTCCAATTGCCAAACCTCCCAATCTAATGCCTTTCTCCTCTACTTCATACATTTAGCTTCTGTAGGTCGTTCTCCCCATCTTCAACCACTTCAACCTTGCTCAGCCTTTAGATCTTTCACCAGAATCAAGAATATTTGATGTCTTCCATCTAATGCAGATGGCCCAACCAGCGAAGGCTGCCCCTTTTTTTGAAATAGTTTTAAATCTTCATTGTTGAACAATTCTTTCAGTTCTGTATTCTAATAGAACCAGTAAATGCTGTTTTCTATCATTGGCCCAAAAAAATTTCTTTTAATTTCCTCTCCCAGCAGTTTACTCTTTTTTCTTCGGCAAGTATCCACATTTCCAATCCGTATGTGACTATTGCCTCAGAATCGTCCTATAAGTGGAACGTCTGGAAAGAGATTTATTTTGGAATGTGTTCCTTATTGCTCCTAAGTATCGATTTCCTACTGCTAACCTACTGCTTATATACTACCTCATTTTTTTGAGGTCAAGACAGCTCCAATACTTAAAATCATTCACACCTTTGAACCAATGTTCATTTATCTAATTTTCAGGCCAAATGGCACCGTTTCGCCCTGTCTGAATGCTTCTTTCAGACCTCTGTAAAAGACTGTCTGCAACTTTATTTTTCTTCTATAAAAAAATTTCATGTAATTGAATTTTGATGTATTTTTAGCTGAGGGACGATTTTCAAGAGTCTGTCGAGATGAGCACATATTTGGTGGCATTTGTGGTATGTGATTATCAACACATAAGAAAGGAAACTGAAAGAGGTGTTTCTGTGGCTGTATATGCTCCTCCTGATTTGCTTCCTCAAGCTCAGTTTGCACTTGATACTGCTACTGCGATGATGGATTATTATGAAGGCTACTTCAACATTTCATATCCCCTTCCTAAACAAGGTTAGACATTTGCGACTTTGTAGTAGTTAAGAATAATACAACAAGAAATAAAACAAGAATAATAAATTGTTTTGTTTTATTAGACTTGATAGCCATTCCTGATTTTGGAGTTGGTGCTATGGAAAACTGGGGATTAATCACGTACAAGGAAACATCTATATTGTACGAGCCGGACCAGACATCTGCGGCTGCTCATCAATGGGTTGCAGTAGTTGTCGCCCATGAATTGGCACACCAGGTAACATTCCAGTACCTTACAAGGCTCCTTACAGAAAAAAATCCCACGTTAAGAAATCCTCTTGGGAGAAACAAGCGCTACCCGTCAAATTTGTTCCAGTGGTTCGGGAATTTGGTAACGATGCGGTGGTGGAGCGACCTGTGGCTGAACGAAGGATTGGCCAGCTTCTTAGAATATCAAACGGTCGATGAGATCATGCCCGGGTGGAACATGATGGAACAGTTTGTCCTCGACAAGACTCAAGCAGGTCTCAACCTCGATGCGCTTTCCAACAGCCACCCGATTTCAGTTGCAGTACAAGATCCTACGGAAATTGAAGCAATTTTTGATACAATTTCATACAGCAAGGTTCGTATTTTAAATACATTTTGATTCATTTGACCTGTAATTTTTTTATTTAAATACTTAGGGAGCGGCTTTATTATATATGATGGAAACATTTTTGGGAGAAGATACACTGAAAGCTGGCCTTACCGATTATTTAGATACACACAAGTACAGTAATGCTGACACAAAAGATTTGTGGGCAATTATGAGCAAACATGCAAATCATTCTATACGTGTAAAGGTAAACAACATAAAAATAAACAAAACCAATGATATTTTATTTGTAATAATTTTTTTGTTATAGAATATAATGGATACTTGGACAAGACAGATGGGGTTTCCTTTAATCGAATTAACTAGAGAAAATGAGCAAATATCTGCATCACAGACGCGATTTTTGCTGACACCAGAGCCAAGAAATGAAAATTCAACAGCTCACATGGAACCAAAAGCACCGTATGGGTATAAGTGGTATGTTCCACTTTCGTACTACACTGACGTCTCTAAAGAAGAGACAATTTGGATGAACATGACTGATGGTAAATTGTTTTTTTGATCGTATATATTATTTGAGACAATTTTAATAAAAACTTTTTTGTTTGTTTTTGTAGTAAAATTTGAAATTAACTCAAGCGCAACTTGGCTCAAAGCAAATATTAACCAGTCAGGCTTTTATAGAGTAAACTATGATTCAAAAATGTGGGAAGTGTTGGTCGCAACGCTAAAGAAAAATCATTCTACTTTCAGTCCAACTGATCGTGCCAGCCTTTTAGATGATGCTTTTACATTATGCAGGTACTGCCAGTTGATACATATATTTTAAATGTAGAAAAGCTGAAAATTTACTGATTTTTCTTTTCTTTAAAAGAGCTGGGCTATTAAACATATCAACAGTGTTAGATATGTCTCTTTATCTTCGCGAAGAACGTGACTATGTGCCTTGGGCTACTGCCTTAATTCACCTTCAGTCCTGGGCGAGATTTCTTTCTGAATCAGCACCTTACAGGAGGTTCCTAAATTATACGAGCCAACTAATTTCGCCTGTTGCTCAATCGCTTGGATGGGCTGATGAAGGGACTCATTTAGAAAAGTAAACTGCTATCATATTCTAATGTGAAATTATTATTTATTAACTATCTGATGTTTCAGATTGATGAGATCAGACATCCTTGTCTCGGCTGTTCTTAGTGGAGTTAAAGAAACGGTCAAAGAAGCCAGGCAAAAGTTCCATGACTGGAAAGCGAATAAAATCACAATTCCACCGAACCTCCGCGAGGCAGTTTATACAGCGGGTATGATCAATTTAATTATTGTATACAATTTTAAACAAAGCAATTTACAAATGTTTCATGGACGATTTAGGTATAAAATATGGAGGTGTTGAAGAATGGAACCATTGTTGGGAAAAATATAACACAACAAGAATACCGAGTGAGAAGAAGCTTTTGCTTCGCGTCCTTGGAGTCGCCTCTGATCCTTGGATTCTTCAAAGGTGTTTAAAACAATGTCTTAACTTTTAGAGTTTAGCATTAATTCATAAGTGTTAAAAACACTCTTTAAATTAATTTCTTTTGTCAATTTTGTTGAATATTTACTTATGCTCTTTTAAAACTTTAGATATCTACTGTCAACATTGGATCGAGACAAAATAAGACCCCAGGACATCAAAGTAGTCGTTTCTGCAGTTTCATCCAACCCCGAAGGTGGTTTACTTGCCTGGAGGCACCTGAAAGCCCATTGGAGGGATCTCCAAACTCTCTTCGGCAATGGGACATTTACAATGGGGAGCCTAATTTCTGCCGTCACTCCACACTTTTCTACAGAATACGATTATAAAGAGGTAAATGGTTTTTTTGTACATTGTGTCACTATTTAATAACACAAAATTATGTATCAAAAGTTTAAGTAAAAGTGCATTCTCATTATTGTTAAATCTTTGTTTATTAACATAAGTTTTTTAATCGAGTTCTGTTCAAGTTATGAGTCACTTCTTTCAAGTTGAAATGTGACTTGAAATATGTGAACATCACAGTTGACTATTTCCTGTTCAACTTTTACACTGCATTGTGTGTAAAATTGTTTAAAAAAAAGTTCAAATGGCTAAGGTTAAGGTTAAAAGGATTCAGCCTTCTTATGAACTTGGGCACTGTGACCAATGTTAGTGTTTTGTGCAATCTCTGTCTAAAGCTCTTGTAAGCTTATGGCTTTTTGTCAGATCCCAAAGTTTTGTTAAGGATTCATGTATGCATCCTTCAGACCTTGTATTTTCCTCTCCCATGAGTATGAATCTCAGGTGGACATGTTCCGCTGTTTCTTATTCTTCCTTCTTTTTTCTGTTGCCCCAAGTGCCTCAGGAGTCTGCTGTGACCAGTCAGCAGTGTTATTATCATTGTAGTCCAATAGTTTTTTAAACATTTTTTTTATTTCCGTGCCTCTGTCTTGAAATAAAATTCTGTTGAACCAAGGACTTTTCTAAACTCAATGGATTGAAATGAACCCCTTGGCAAAAGGGTTCAGGGGCAATAGGTGGCCTCATATAACTTCCTTGGCCAATTTATCAGCCTCCTTGTTGCTCGAAGTCTGACAGGGCTTGAAAGTTTCAAGTAGATTTGGAGTATGCTGCTAAAATTATTAGAATTTATCATAAATGTTATTCCTTTTGGGTTTTGTCATCAATTGAGTTATGGTCAAATCTGCACATTCATGTACGAACACACATATACAGAGTTGAGCCTATTACTTCTTGTAGCTCGGCAGAATCACCCACCCTGGGTGTTGGCAGTCTGGGTCAGACATCGGTTTTATGCATCCATCTGCTGAGGTTGGGCTCTAAGGGCTCAACAGCTAGGAAATTTCAGCCCTCAACGTAATCAGTCTAGATCCGACCCTATTCACTGTCTCACTCATTGTTAAAAATATATTCTTCCTATTTACATACCATTTGTTTAGGTAGGGTGGAGTACTTGATATTTTTTCATCACCATCTACACATATTATATAATTAATCTAACTGAGGATCAATGGGTACTAAATATTCATCATTGGCCCACTATGTCCATACTAATAAATACATTCAGTCTCAACATGCACAAAGAAACAAAGTACTATATACACTAAAATAGTCCTGTTTTCTAAAAATCAGAACAGGGGGCCAGCCAGATACTTGTTACCATCTTCAAGTCCAATTCTCATATTGGGTGGCATGTCTGTACGCTCCCTATATGGAGCCAAGGAGTGGCACCCTCCAATTATTTGAAGCACAAGGTCGCACAGCGGTTGCTGTTTTGACTGGATGGTGCAGGCGAGTTAAGTTGAGCCTGGCACCAGAAAAGTCTGAGCTGATGCTCCTGAAAGGGACCTTAAATATGCGGTCGCCTCCAGTCATAAAAATTGAAGGGCAAACTATTAGGGCACCACCTGTCGTCACCTACTTGGGAGTCAAGATGTCCTCAGGATTAAAATTCGGAGCCAACGCCCGGTACACAAGAGAGAAAATTCCAGCACGAGTTGCTGTCATAAGGGCCATGTGTGGTGCGGCATGGGGCGTCTCCTACCGAAGTTGTCAAATTTACTATTCGGCATTGTGTCAGTCGGTTCTCCTGTATGCAGCCCCTGCGTGGGTACAAGGGCTACGGGCCGCCGACTGGGCAATAGCCTTGAGCACCCAGAGAACGGCGCTATTAGCCGTAACACAAGCGTATCGGACGACATCCACAGACGCCCTCCAGATCATAGCCGGCAGGCCACCGCTCGATCTGCAGGCGAGGGCAGTGTCCGCTGCCTGGGAGGTGGCAAACGGTCATCAGCCTAATATCCCCATAAGCAATGAACAGGATGCGAACATATGGATGCTTGAGGAGTGGCAGTGCCGGTGGGATAGGTCAGCCAAAGGCAGATATACGTACCAAATCTTCCCGAGCGTACCAAGGAGATTAGAAGCAAAGCATGTCCATGTGGACCATTACATGGTGCAACTCTTAACGGGGCATGGCGACTTTTCAGCCAAATTGTAAAGACCAGCCCATTATGCCCCTGCGGACACGAGGAGACAGCTGAGCACGTTGTTTCAAGGTGCGAAATGTATAGCATCCCCCGAACTAGATGGCTGTTTGAAACAAATGCCGAGGTAGCTAACATCAATTCGTTGCAAGGGATCGTTGCTAGACCAGATGGCTTTAAGGCCACCATGAGATATTGGAAGGCCGTAATGCGGCAAAAAGGCTGGCCTGCTTAGTAAGCAGTGATGCCTAAACATCATGCCATAACTACCGAAATAGCCGCATTGCTCTTCCCCCATGTTCCAGCTGGACGTCTCCGCGTGGCCCATCCTGGGGGTGCCATATTGGCACCGCTAAGTTCCGGTGGGGGAATCTGAGCCACGGCCACTAGGCAGAGAAAGCCAAAACGTCACCTGCAAAGCCCGCTCAAGGGCCTAGAAGCGGGACACGAATAGAAAAGACCTAGTGGCACCCTCCAATTAAAGGTTTGTAAACACTGGGCAAATCTCAGTCAACGAAAGACAACCAACCACTATGTTGGCCGTGATTTGCTTAGTGTGTACGGGAGGCGAATCAGAGCTAACAAAGCAGTTGGCCTTAGTTCGGACTGCTGGTGGTAACTTCAAAAGATTTGACGTTGGGTTGGCTTAAAGACCTCTTAGTGCAGACACTGGCTCGATTGTTCGTTGGTTCATTCTTGTGCTGAAAAATAATGAGACTACATTAAAACTGAGTGGATTTTATCGTGAATGGGACCCTATGAACTGTGAATATAAAAACAAATTGAAAAGATTAGGCACTTGGCGGGAAATAAATGAGCTTTTAAAAAGTAGTGTGAACGATGTGAAAACGAAAATGGAATCTTTATTAACATCTTTTCACCGTGAAAGACAACGAGAAGAAAACAAAACTGGAAGTGGTGCTGATGAAGTCTACAAATTTTGTTTGTTTTTAGAGCCAACTCCAATTCCACATAGCCGAATCCCTTGACCGCAACCCATTGGTTTGATGAGGTTGAGCCAAGGATGGCCAATGTGTTAGTGACCAATGTTCAGCCTAATATATTGGTTGTCTTTTGTTGGCTGAGATTTGCTTAGTGCAAATGCACCTTAAGTGGAGGAATACATGGAGCAACTTTTCTCTACATGTCAGGCACAAAAAATTTCCTTTGAATAACTCTCTTATATAATACATATTGTATTTTATATGGATTTTTATATATCATATAAAAATACAAATTTGCGAAAAAATATTTTTTGTTCTATTGCCAAAGAAATGAAAATTGTCGGATTTATTATTGCAAATTTAAGATATTTGCCTTTGGCCTTGGATTACCAGACAATTCTTTGCAGGGTGGTGTGATATTTAGCTGCTGAAATTTATGATTTATCCCCTGTACAGATGATGTGATTTTATGAGTACAAAAATTAAGATCTGAAATAAAATGTATGTTTTATCATAAAAGAAATGAAAATTGCCCAACTTATTATTGCTACTTTGAAGAACTAAATTAGTTGGTTAGAACAATGTATTAGAAAGAACATTTAATAATTTTATATCAAAACTAAATCAATTTTTAGTGAAACGTGTGAACAAAAACTGATTTGTTACACCTTAAAACATATAAAATGTAATAAGTGGCCAAAGAGTTCCAGTTTGATCTTAGTATGTTAATTTAATATATTTTCTTCTCAACTCTATACCCACCAAAATTATAAATTTACTTAATAACAAGTAAAGTTATTTTTATTTTAACTAAATTAATATTGATGTATTTCCTATTTTTCATGAATCATTGCAACTTGTAAAGAGAAGCTAACAATTTTTTTTTTTCAGGTAGATATGTTTTTCCGACACATAGATGTTGGCTCAGGATCGAGGGCTTTAGACCAGTGCCTCGAAACGATCAAACTCAATATCCACTGGGTTAGGAGAAACGAGCAAATTCTAGACGACTGGCTAATTAAGTATTTAAACAGTTAGTCTGTACCTTTGAATTAGACATATAGAAGGAAAAAGGGATTAAAGAGAAATTAGATTAATTATTATTTTTGTAATGATGAAATATATATAGAGAGAGAAAAAAAGAAATCAATTATTAAAAATGAATCTCTTTCTCCTCGAGTCAGTCGGGGTACTCCGTGTTCAATTGGTGCAACATTTTTTTCCGCTAGTATATTTTAAAAGAAGTATATATTTCTTGAGCCACATTAGGACCTTTAACTACTTATCGGTGTACTTGTATTTATCCCTGAATTGTTACCAAAGCAAACTCTACTATTGGGATAAAATGTTTTTTTAAAAATTGAAAATTTCAATAAAAAGGCTTGTGAAATTTATAGATTCCAGGTTTTTTATAATCATAATTTATTTTGTATTGAGACAAATTTTTTTCCGATAAAAATTTTAATTCTAATGGGTGAGAATATATGGATCTAGTCATGAATATTCTAATATTAACTAAATCTAGATTTTAGGTTTGCAGAGAAGTACAGTTGGGGGATTTTCACTCAACATTAATCTACCATAAATTTATGTACATAATTTATCCCAATAGTAAAACTTAGCTGTGTTAAAAAACGACTTGTATTCACAGAAGAAATTTCAATGTACATATTAAACAACTGCTAAAGTTCAAAATAAGGTGCAATTTTGAGTTTTATGTGCAATGTATAATTAATGTGTTTTTAATTTATATAAACTTTTTGGCTTTGTTTATTGGAGCAAAATTTCTATAATTGTTTCTTACTCATATTCACAAATATTCAGGTGTTTATCTCTACAGTCTTCTTTCATAACATCTGAAATAAAGTTTACATTTCCTGTATTTTTGTGTGGTTTCAATATGTTGACTTTTTTTAAATTAAATTAATAGACAAAGCCTGAAATCATTATATTTTTTATTTTATAAACATACTTTATTGTTAGTTTATTTGTTGTATAGTGTAAACAATTTTACCCTTTTATACACAAAGTTCCTCTCAAAAGAAAAGCAAACAGGCATTTTTGTAGGATTAGTTTTTATTTGTTACAATAATAGAACAGACCCTATTATTTTTTCAAAACTTTACAGTAAGATAAAGAAAATATTTTTTAACAAATCTAGTACAAATTGATAAAAATAGTAATCTTTATTTATTTACTAAATTTATAAGAAAATTTATGGATGAATGAAAAGGAAACACAGCTACAATCAATTCTAGTCCAGGAAGAGAGTGTCTTTTAGAATTCTTTTTTATACAATTAAGATTTTAAATGTGAAAGCAAAACTGCAAAATAAGCTATTAAAGTGCCAAAAAAACCAAATAAAATCCACTGGAGGAGGTAAAAAAGAAAAGTTAGGTTGCTATTAGTTTAAAAATGGGCACAATTATTAGATATTGCTAGTTTTTATACCTTCTAGTTTTTGTATACCAACTTATTTATATTTTTCTTATCAATTATAACATTTATTAAGAAAAAAAGTATATACATATAAATAGGCATTGTATCATACACTAGTTTTTTGAAAACTGTTGCCATACATGGCCTATTGATATGAAAATGATAAAAATTCTATTAGAAATCTACACAAGATAGATTTCATTATTATCTTTGTAAATTAAGTATATATTTTAGTATAAAAACAAAACAAAAATGAAGAAATATTAGCCTTTGAAGGGATAATGTCCATTAACTAATCATATCACTGTTATTATCTTCACCTCATGTGTAAATAGTTAATGTAATATTGATATGATGCAGAGAATTAAGTAAAAAGTAAGAAATTGTGGGTTTGTGTTTTGGGCGAGAGTAAAAGTGGAAAAAATGTCTTAGAGTTTAATTATGGAAATACATGTTTTTTATTTTTTATTTATTTATTTTTTTTTTGTTAAGGATCTGGCTTTTTAAAATAACCCTTGTTCTAACTATCTACGATTGTATATGATGTTGATTAAATATGAAAACCATTACTGCAATTAATTTATCTTCAGTAATTTAGAATCGGGTTGTTAAATGTGTTAAAATTTTGAATAAAAAAAGTCCACAATTTGAAAATCTAAGAAATGAAGTTAACTGTCAATAGTGAAAAAGCTGTACAAAATAAAGAATTAAAAAAATTGAATTTATAATAGTTTTAATTCCAATAATTAATTCCCTGCAATAATGTGATACTGATTTTTCTATTTTCAGTATGTGTAAGTTTCAGCACCGAGTCTTTAGGTGGATTATAATAAAATGTTGTACATAATCCTTATATTTAAAATATAGCATTGATACTTTATGTTTTAATTCATTATTTTTTTATGTGCACTTTCAAAAATGTACATTTATATATATACAGGGTGAATTGCTACTCGTGCTACAAACTTCTCCAGTAGATTCTTCACCCTAAAATGAACAAAAAAGTTCATATTGTCCATGGTCCGATTCTCAACCATTTCAGAGTAATTTCGCTTTTTATCGATTTTGAAAGATATCACGTCCTGGCGTCGGAAAATCGTGATATCTTTTAATCTAAACATTTCTCTGAAAATCTAATAGCACCGTTGAAATTCCCGTTAATTTTTCAATAAGAAGATGACGGTGGCAAAATGTTTGGGCTAATTTTTTGTGTTTTATTTCAGCCAGAACTACAAAAAGAGTGGAAAATTGTGTAAATCGGAAAGTGTATAAAGTAATCCAGAGTTTCTAATTTTAGTCTCAGAAGGCAGCAAATTTGAGGAAAACTACCTGATTTAATAACGCTTCCAACGCACTCGTCATTTTCTTATTTAGTGGTTGTGAGACCAAGATGTTGATGACAAAAAGAGAAAAAATGGTGGTTCAAGGATTGCTAATGTTTGAGAGTGACTTGCTACTCGTGCTACAAACTTCACCAGTAGATTCTTGACCCTAAAATGAACAAAAAAGTTCATATTGACCATGGTCCGATTCTCAACCATTTCAGAGTAATTTCGCTTTTTATCGATTTTGAAAGATATCACGTCCTGGCGTCGGAAAATCGTGATATCTTTTAATCTAAACATTTCTCTTAAAATCTATAAGCACCGTTGAAATCCCCGTTAATTTTTCAATAAGAAGATGAAGGTGGCAAAACGTTTGGGTCTTTCTTCCTTGACCTTCTAGCTGTTTGTAAACTTCTTAAGCATTACATACTAAATGGGCATTAAATTAAATTAAAAAATTTCAATGGAATTATGATTTTGATTCTCTCTAAAAATTAACGGGGATTTCAACGGTGCTTATAGATTTTAAGAGAAATGTTTAGATTAAAAGATATCACGATTTTCCGACGCCAGGACGTGATATCTTTCAAAATCGATAAAAAGCGAAATTACTCTGAAATGGTTGAGAATCGGACCATGGTCAATATGAACTTTTTTGTTCATTTTAGGGTGAAGAATCTACTGGAGAAGTTTGTAGCACGAGTAGCAATTCACCCTGTATATATATATATTTTTTTTTTAATTTGTGATCTGATAGTTACCAACCGTTTTGGTCTGCCCATGCATGCTGGGTTGGTCAGATCCGGCTCAACATTTCACCATCTTGCTTGGTATACCAGACGATCGGAAACGATTAAATTACAGGTTCAATCACCCTAATCTCAGGAGAAAATCTAACATTTCTTTGACAAAGTTTGACAAAAGTTCTTTGACAAAATAATTATTAAGGTAAGAAAAATGACAGGACCTCTTGTAATTAAGGAAAGCTGTGTGATGCTTGGCAATTCACATACTTTATTACACTCCTATAAAATGAAATCAATATTATCTGAAAATAAATAAAAGTACAGATGTTAATTGTAATTTACAGAAAACTTTTTTTCCAGGGGCAACGGGTTGAATATAAAGAAAAATCGGTATTATTCAAGTAGACAGTTTTTTATGTGATTTGATGAACATCATATTCCATTTAATTTACCCTGAGGTTTATAAATCACTTAATAAATAAATAAATACACTACATCATAATACATAAACTATAAAATTCACATCAAACAACTCTTCATCACTTGCAGTGATATATCAATTAAAAATAAAACTGAATATTTAACAAAACAGATCATTTCATAATTGCATGTTTAAATAATCTCAGAAGAATGGTTTGAGAATTTGACATTAAATTAAATCATGCCTAGCATAAATTACCATTTGGTTCAACTTTTATCAATTTTCACAAACAAATAACATTAATTTTTAACTTAAATCACATTTATTACATCAATTATGATTATTAGATTTGAGCTTATACATGGGTTGCTTTTAAGCTTGTAATTCTATTGACCTAGTTATTCTTTTTTAAAGAATTTAATTTCTTTTTGGTACGTTTCTAGACCTACACTGCATATGAGAAAAATATATTTATTGTAACAATTATTTTGTAAATTTAATTACTTCAAAATAGTTTTTGAAAATAATAGTATATATTCTCAATTTTTTAAGTCTTTCAATATAACCAGTACCAGCAGTTTGATGAAAATTGTCTATCGTCGTGTCCATGCTTTTGTAATCTTTTCCAGTGGAATCAGTTCATATATAACATCTCTGACTGCAGACAATTTTTCAGTTTGATTGATCTGTTTTCACTTTTATTTTCACAAAGATGATCGTGAAATTACGTTGAATTGTGTAAACTGATTGACTGTGATATTCACCTATTTGGCTTAAATCGTATTAAACTTGAATTTATATGATATCAAGAATAATAAACCCCATTTTATTTAAGTTTTTGTATTATAAATTTGTTATTGTAGTATTATTATTAGTAATGATTTGCAAGAAATTTGTTGCAACTTTCAAGATAACCCATCATTTTTTAATGGAGAGATCCACAGTTTAGAGAGATGATAAAAGAAGAAAAGTAAATGAAAGATGTAATACAAAAATTAATTAGATAGAATTTTTTTAAAGTTAACATCTTTCAACTTACCGAACATTGGTTACATTTTTCACCATTTAAATCCTTTCTATTACCAATTTGTAATTAACATTTTGAATTGGAAAGTAGGTTAAGAATATTACATAGAACATTGACACATAATGTGATTTAAAAATAAAAATAAAAATGGATTAAGGTTTACTTGTGTCTCGGAATGTAATAACAGGCTCAGATCTGTGCCCTGATACTTTAGGCGTGTGTTTGCTAATAGTTAACATCTCCTGTAAAAGAAAAAAGAGAATTCAATAATAAATTCTTGCATCGAGCTGTTGTTAGGCTGACCTGACTTCGGTGTTTTTTATATGCTCTGACAGCTCTCAGATGTAGTTGGTGCAATAATTTCGCAGCTGCGACATCTCCGGCGTCTGAAAGAAGTTCATTGCCAATCGGCCTTCGTAACAGATCTGGAGTCTCACTCAGCCCTGCATATTAAAAATTGATTTTCATCAACTCTTGCTGTTATTTAAAAATTCGTTAATTACTTTCTGAACTGAGACTGCTTTGGTCGATGTCTTGTATGCGAGCCATGCGCATCGCCGTGTCTTCCCCGACGAGCCAGTAGGTAAGCATTTCACCCTTTCCCTGAAATATGAAATATAGCATCTCCCATTATGGTTTAAAGTAGTATGCTTTCAAAATGTAATACCTTGATCATGATATTTCCCCTTTCTTCGCAAGTGTAACCGCCTAGCCTGTCAAGGAGGTCTTTAGTTGTGTGAGATATATGTATTTTAAAAGCTTCACCCGTTGATTCCATTCTTGAAGCTGTGTTTACTGTATCCCCAAATAAGCAATACCTAGGCATTTTAAGTCCTACAACTCCAGCGACACAATGACCTTTAAAAAACAACAAACTTTCATTAAGAAGACATCCATTTAAACCCCAATTTTAAATTGTAATTTATCATACATTATGGCTATGAGCAATGAGTTGATTAGGAATGATTTTGGAACAAGATGACATTCATCAAAATTATTATCATGCGGGGAAAAAAATAAAAATAAATAAATAAATAAATAAAAAATAAAATAAAAAAATAATTTTTCATTTGGACAATTCAAAATATTAGTATGATTTAATCAAAGCACAGTACTGCCAGAAAGAGATACAATTAAGTGCAGAATTAAAATATTTATAAATTTTGTTGAAATTATTAGGACAAATAAAATAAGTGTAGTAATATGCGAAATTTATTTGTAAAAATTACATACCTGAATACCATCAGGTAATGTGTTTTTTGACAAATCTCCCTCTCACTCATGTTATTTCATATTTTCTCTTTCATTATATCTCTTTCTCTCACTCACTGATTCTCTTTTTACTCCCACTCTCTCTTTCTCTCACACACACTTTCTCTCTCCCTTTTCATTCACACTTTCACTCACTCACTCTCACTCTCTCTCTCTCTCTCTCTCTCTCTCTTGCTCTTTTTATCACTCATTCTTTCTCTCCCTTCTTTTTCACTCGCTCTATAGATCTTTTTTTCTCGCACTCACTCTCCCACTCACTCCCTCTCTCTCTTTATCTCAATAACTCTCTCCTTAACACAAACACACACTCTCTCTCTCTCTTTATCTTAATAACTCTCTCCTTAATACAAACATGCTCTCTCTCTCTCTCTCTCTCTCTCTCTCTCAATAACTCTCTCTTTAACACAAACTCTCTCTCTCTCTCTCTCTCTCTCTCTCTCTCTCTTGCTCTTTTTATAACTCATTATTTCTCTCCCTTCTTTTTCACTCGCTCTATAGATCTTTCTTTTTTCGCACTCACTCTCCCTCTCTCTATCTTAATAAGTCTCTCCTTAACACAAACACACTCTCACTCTCTCTCTCTTATTTCCTTCACCCTTACTCTCAATTGAGCTAATTGTTCAATGTAAATTATGTATGAATAATCTCTATTAATAGAATTTTTTATTGCAAAGTATGGTTGAGTTGAAAAGTGCGAGACTGGAAATCTTGATTTCAGGATCAGTACCCCGTGGTACTGGCACTAATTTTTCATCTCAACCCTACTTGGCATAAAAAAATAATATATCAACTAAAGTAATTACTTTGGTTAATAGGACCAACTGAAAAACATATCTACTAATCGAGTTACAATGAAGATAGAAAACATTTGAATACAAAAGGTTGATAGATTTGGTTTCCTTATATTCCTTAGTTTAACACTTTGAATTGAATTTTGTTTATTAAAGACCCTGCTTTAAACATGCCTGACACTTGATGATGAATATTTTGAATAACTTGCTTCAACTCAAAAAATTTAATTAATTAAAAAATTAAATAAATAATATTTGTAGCGTAAATAACAAATTTCTGTTGATTGGGAAACAACTATGAGATCTTCACCTCGAGCTTTAAGTTGGTATTTGTTATCACAATATAGTGGGTTATGAGAAAAAAAGTGAGCCCAATCTGACAGAATTAAATTGAAGAGCAACTTCTACTGTTGAACCATAGAAGGTTGATGCTTTTCATCAAAATTTACAAGAGTACAAAAAAAGAAGAAGAAGAAGAAGGAAGAGAGAGAGAGAGAGAGAAAGANAAGAAGGTATAGAACAGAATTAAAAAGAGAGATCATTAATTATGAAATTTTAAGAATTTTAAGTTATTTAATTCATTATAGAAACTCACAAAATCAAAAAGAGGTCGAGTCCGCGCCCTATGTGTATTGGGTCTTACCCCTTCAATTTTATATAATTGAAAGCAGAAAGTCATTTTTTTTTATTTTTTAAGGACGGTAAATACACACGGGCGCATCGGACCTCCGATATTCATCGATTTTTAACCAATTTGGTGATTTTTAAAAAAGTTTATTCCATCTCCGTGAGAAGTTCGCAACGGAGGAGGAAATGTTAGGTGCTTCGTCACTTTGAAAAACTCGAGTTCTATTTTCGCGAAAACGGAAAATCTCAGACAATCGGAAAATGGAATTGTTTTTCAAATTTGTTTTTGACGAAATCATCAGTATTAACAGTGTTAGGGAAGATAATCACGAAATTTGTTTCCCGCTGTTGACTACTTGACAGCGCTGAATTCTCAATTTATGGTTTTCTCGGTTTTTGTTTAAAAAAATTCTTGTCAAAATGTTTGCTGTATGTTTTCATCAGCTGATATGTTTGTTTTGATCTCGGAAGTTTACTGTTGTACTTCTGGTTTTAATGGTAGTTAGTTTTCGCTTATTTTTTTTATAGATTTCATTAAATTTAGCCTTTATATTTGCAATAAAAATATAATGTATAATTATGAACTTCGCTGGTGAAACCAAATTTACGTTAATCAATGTACATATGGGGAAAAATTTTAATCTGATCGCTTTTCAATAATTTTGTTCGCTGGAATGCAACAAAATATGAAATGTAACTTAAATTAATTAATTTTTTTTAAAATGAAACAATGGTACTGTCGTTTGCTTATTGTTTAGGAGCTAAAGTATGTATTTCAAATAGTAGCCTATTTAATATATTTTCAATTATTTCTATAAAAAATATTGACGTAACAAACGTGTATAAGTGCATCGTCCTATCTTAAATCATTAACGTCTTAAATTGTTCTCAAAATAATATTGAAATGTGTTGTGAAGTGAACAGAAAGTGGTGCTTGATTACATATCTATCTACTACTACTAAGTATCCATGTTACTTATTAAATAGATTCACTGTTATAATAATAAATAAGTCAGTTTTCATTGATGACTGTCAATAATTGATCTCCTAAACGCCTTGGGTACCTCCCGCTGTTTTTGTCAGAAGAGAATGAAATGCTTAAACACGCCAGAATAAGCAGGCCCGGCTGATCAGCGATTATCATACCTTAAAACAACGCCTCAGAATTTAAGAAAACAGTTTAACTGTTATTTTGTAACAATAAATAAAAAGATGATGGAAAATTGGATTTAAGATGGGGCGGGAAGAGCTACAATCCATAAGGGGGTGGTTGAGACTGCTGTGCTACCAAGCAACGACACACCGAACCACCGTTATCTTTAATTAATTATTTTCTTCGAGCATATAAAAATAAAGAATAATGTGAGAAATTTAAACGTAAACGTGTAAAATAGAACAGTTAGAAACGGCGCGAACGATCCAGAGCGATGAACAATTGTTACAAACGCCTTAAAAAGAGCGTCCCTTTTTCCCTTCCCGTCTATTTCGATTCCTGGAAAAGAAAAGGGAAGGAAAAGCAAACTGCGGGGGTGGTTGGGAGGTCCGAAGTGTCTGAGTGTTTCATTCTAACCGAGGGCGCCCTCAAAGTTAAGCTAACCTAATGAAATGTAACAAGTTATCACTACTATTAGATAATGAAACTTACACTTAGGACACTGATTTGACTTCCTTTTACTACCCCATAAATAAATATTAAATATTGATTATGGTGTCGATTTTTTTAATAGGATTGTCTTTGGTGATTGATCAGCCTTCTCAGTTTAAATATATTTTTCTTTCCAAAAGGTAGATTGGGAATGAGGCCAGGAAGACAGAAACAACATTTATTTTCTTGTCGAACTTTCGGCAGAATATATGGCCTTCATCAGGACTTCGAAAAATCGTTATACTATATGAATGTGTGGATAACGGATAGCTATCCTGTACCTGTTCATACAGCATAACGATTTTTTTCGAAGTCCTGATGAAGGCGATATATTCTGCCGAAAGCTAGACAAGAAAATAAATGTTGTTTCTGTCTTCCTGGCCTCTCCCCAATCTACCTTTTGGAAAGAAAAATATATTTAATAGTATAGCTTAATAAAAATAAAAAATCCATTGTGATATTTATGATGATTGCAGAGAGCACTTGTGAGAAGGGTTGTACATCGCGTTTTCTAAATCCAAGCAAAGAATACTATATCAAGGTTGTACAGGTCGATAAGTATAAATGTTGAATTATTCACAAGAGAGTAAAAAAAATAAAAACAAAAAACACTGTACTAATTTTGCACAGTAAGACAAAAACGTGGAACTAAGTGTTCTGGAAGACTAAAAAATTCTGTACCGAGTATTTTTTCAAAGGAAAAATAAAGCTGTACCACGATTTTTGTAAAATAAGAATGTTGTACCCAATTTTTACAGGAGGGGAAACTATTTGTACTAAAGGAAGGCAAAGAACGCTGTTCTAAGTCTTCTCTAGAAGAAAAAAAATCTGTAACATGTTTTCTCGAGATGGTTAAAAACGTTGTATCAAGTTTTCTCTGGAAGGCAAAAGAAACTTGTATCAGTTTTCATTGGAATGCGTAGGAAGCTATACCAAGTACCTTCAGAATTGTAAAAACGCTACCGATTTTTGTCTGACAGAATTAATACCACGTTTTCACTAGAATGTAAATGACGCTGCACCAACTGGATGACAAAAACAAGGTGTACTAAGTTAAAAGCGAAGAAAGTAATACCAAGTTTTAACTGGAGGAGAAAAGACGCTCACAAAGTTTTCACACTAAGAAAAAAAAATCCACTGTACTAAATTTAAGGCAAAGAAAGCAATGCGAAGTTTCAACGGGAAGGCAAAGTCGTTGCACCAAGTTTTCACAGGGTCACAAATGATGTAATAAGTTTTCACTGAACGACAAAAAATCGCAGTACATATTAAGTTTTCTCTGAAAGGTAAAGTAATTAATACCAAGTTTTTACTAGAAGGCACCAAATTTTCACTGGATGACAGAAAAAAGGTGTACTAAGTTAAAGGCAAAGAAAGTAATACCAAGTTTTAACTGGAAGGGAAAAGACCCTCACCAAGTTTCCACACTAAGACAAAATCCACTGTACTTAATTTTCTTTGGAAGGCAAAGTCGTTGCACCAAGTTTTCACAGGGAGACAAATGATGTTCTAAATTTTCGCTGGATGACGGAAAAAAAACGCAGTACATACTAAGTTTTCTCTGAAAGGTAAAGTAAATTAATACCAAGTTTTTACTAGAAGGCAAATGACGCTGCACCAAACTTTCACTGGATGGCAGAAAAAAGGTGTACTAAGTTAAAGGCGAAGAAAGTAATACCAAGTTTTAACTGGAAGGGAAAAGACCCTCACCAAGTTTTCACACTAAGAAAAAAACCACTGTACTTAATTTTCTTTGGAAGGCAAAGTCGTGGCACCAAGTTTTCACAGGGAGACAAATGATGTGCTAAGTTTTCGCTGGATGAAAAAAAAAAACGCAGTACATACTAAGTTTTCTCTGAAAGGTAAAGTAATCAATACCAAGTTTTAACTAGAAGGGAAATGACGCTGCACCCAGTTTTCACAGAGAGGCAAAAAATACAAAAAACCAAATTTTTACACGATGAAAACAAACGATGAACTGTTTTCTTTGGAAGGTAATGAAAGTCGTATTAATTCTTCTTTAAAAGGCAAAAAATTCTGTACCAAGTTTTCTCGGGGTGGTAAAACACGCTGAACAATATTTTCACTGGAAGACAAAAGAAAGCTGTTTTTCATTGGAAGGAAAAGGAAGCTAAACCAAGTTTTCTTCAGAAGGCTAAGAACGCTGCACGATAGCTATACCAAGTTTTTTTCAAAACTGTAAGAACGTGCTGAGTTTTCTCTGGCAGGCTAATTTACCAAGTTTTTCTGAAATCCGGAATGGAAGGAAAGTTATACAAAGTTATTCTTTGGAATGCTACGAACGCACACAAAAGGCTTTTCACTACATCGTGACGATGTGTCCGCACTCCGTCCTCCAATATTATTTTTGTAATTATTGCATTTTTAAAAATCTCATGTCCCCAATTTTACATTTGGCGTACTTTATTAACAATGTCGTTGTCTTATGAAATTTTGGTAATTTTGAAGAAGAAAACTCACAGCCACTAAAACTACCTGTTATAAAGCAGAGTCACTCGACAAACTGTTTGGTGGTGGTTAGAAAAAATCGAAAAATAGCAACACAAGCCTACAGAGAAAAGCTTCAGGACGACCGTCTTTAATGCACTGTGAGGCTGTTCAAGACGTACACAATTTGTCAAATAAACTATGCTGTTAACTGTATCTGAAGACAGTGGAGTAAAAAGGACGCGTAGTTCATGTTCCTCTACATGATGCCATCTGAGCATGCTGAATATAGAAACATGCCGATTGTTCCTTCAAAGTCCAAGTTACCGCCTTTTTCCTAACACATCAGGACAATTGACAAACCGAAGTAAAGCCAGTGCGTACCACCCACCTCACAGCCTTCAGACTGTTCCAAGCTACAACTATATTAAGAAAAATCTTTTCAGATCTACAATAAAACTGTGAAGTAATGAAATTCTTCGATGAATTAGGATACTGTGTAAGTACAATGTAGGCATACAAGTACATCAAGAAATACATTTACAAGCATATAAGAATAAATAGGGAATACAGTAGTTCATAAGCAGTACAGCAGCCATCTGCATTCAATTGATTATTCGCAAGTAAACTTATAAATTGCTTTACTTTATTTTCTATAAATATCATATTTGATAATATTCGGTTTAAACTAAATAAATTATAGGTGTGTTAGTTACCTGAATGTATTCCTATTCTTAATTTAAGAGGTTCTCCAGGCTGGTGGCTGATCTTCAGTCTTTTTATGCTGGCTAGCATGTGGATTGCCATGCTTGCTATTTCACCAGCATGACGGTCACCGTTCCTCACCGGGAGCCCGGAGACGACCATGTACGCGTCGCCGATCGTCTCTACCTTATAGACATCATAGTGAGAGATGATGGAGTCGCAGCATGTGTATAAATCATTGAGCAATTCCACAACCTGTTTCAATGGAAATCAGATCAAAATAGGATCTAATAAAATCGGGGATCAGCAAGGTTCTACCTGCAACGGCGTGCTGACAGCAGACAGTTCTGTGAAGCCGACGATGTCGCTGAAGTATATTGTGACGCACTCAAAACTTTCAGCCTCCACCCTCTCTCCTCTTTTTAACGATTCGGCTACCGTCCTGAGAATGATAGACGTATTTCAAATAGTTTCAAATTTAAGTTATACCAAAAGTAGGATGCTTCTATTCTAAAATATTTACTTGGGCAGCATTCTATTGAGCAGTGCGTCAGTTTTCTTCTTTTCCTCGGTCAGTTGATTGGTCCTTTCTTGGACTAAACCTTCCAAGTTGGACGCGTACTTTTCCATAATGGCCAACATATTGTCGAAAATGTTAGGCTTCCTGAGGAAAAAAATTAACAATAGAAACTCAAACTAGTAGCCGGCCACCGGTTGACCGAACGTGTACGTACAGTCCTGCCTGCATTTCCTTGAGCTTGACACGCACGAACCTGAAGTCGGGACGGTTTTCTGGGTCCTCGTCCCAGCAGGACTCCATACATTTGACGATGGACGGGGACGTGTCGAGACCGCTGACGTCTGGTCTCAATCCGGATCCAGACGCGACGCTCTTCACGATTTCTGCAGAGAGAAGCAAATCGTGCCATGAAAAATAATCAGAATAAAACATAAAAATTAACTAGGAGTATTTGATTTGCCACCAAATGTGCTTTTCATCTGAAAAAAGCGTTTTTCTCGTAGTAAATATCGTTGCTGTTCCGACAGAACATCCATTTGGCTTTTATTTATTTTTTTTTTAGTACCCAAATATCTTCAGGTGATTTGCCAGGATAGTAAGCGGACACATCTGTCATAAGTTGTCCAGGAAAGTACACCCCATGATTATCATATTGCAAGATAAATGATATTTTACCCCAAAGGACGAAGAAATCCGACATAAAGTTTTATTTAAAAGCACAATCAAGTTGTCTATTCTTTTTAAAATAAATGAATTTCAAATTAGTTGCTTGGTAATTCTCTATAATTAAATTATTCTGGGTAAGAAATGGAAATTTGAGTAATGAATTAATATATTCTGCACAGAGTAAAGTTGAATCTCTTTCATATTGATTGGGATAGAAGTTCAATTTCTTAAGACTTAATGAAATTATTACAAATAAATAAAGCGTTATTTATTCATTATCATTTAATTCGCACATGATTCTTTTTAGTAGAACAAACTTATTTAAAATAACTAAAATAGTCAAGAGCACGACCGGTAGAGGCCCTCAGAGAACCTGAGACGAGGGATCGTTCTCACCCGATTGAGGATTGGCCATACGCGGTTGACACACGGCACCTACTTTTGGTTCAAAGCCCGCGCAGGTCTCCCTTATGCAGAGAAAGGTTGCTTGATGTGTCCCACATAATAGAGGCGAGTCATGCCTTGGCTCCATACAGAGAGCGTACAGGCATGGCGCAGGATTTAAGAATGGTTCTCGGACACGGTAGCGAGTATCAGCGTCCCCTGTTCCGCTTTTTAAGGGAATTGAGAAATTTTTTATTGTATATAGCCATCAAGATATGTACGAATGAGTGTATTTATTAGAGTGAATGGGGAGGGGCTGATGGTGGAATAGCAACCCCATCGCCCGTCGAGCTTTGTACGTGACTCCACCGACCCCAATTGGATTGGTTTGTTATTGTATGCAGGTTGATGGAGAAATATTCAGTACTCCAACCACCAAATAGAATAAATGCAATGTATATAGGTGTGAATGTATTTATTTGTGTGAGTGCGTATTGAATGTGTGTTAAAAAAAGGCTACAACTGAATAAAGGATAAATAAATTGAATCTTTTTAATTTACTGATTGGATTAAATTTAGTTCGGTTGGTTTCCCTGTTGTTTTAAAAAATAATAGGGCAATTTGAGGAAAAATGTCTCGCCTGATTTTTTTCTCCACTTTATTGCTTACACCTTTCTCATGTTTTATTACTTGCTTTACTGTTACATTCCCATCTGATTACTGTCTTCTTTGCCTTTCCTTGTCATCCGGCATCCATTGGTGTTTAGTTTGATCCATTTTTGTTTTAACATTCAGCAAATCCACTTGCCAGATCCTTTACTTTTTAACCCCACCTTTTGTACTTATTATTTCGTTTCTAGTTCGTTCTTTTTTGGAGATACTTATTTCCAATGTTCTTGCATTTATTCGCCGTCTTTATTTATACCTATACCTATACGCTGCTCATGGCCTACTAGGAGTGTGATTGCCGCTCCTTCATAGACCAAACATATCGGCTGGCATGAACGGTGGCCCAGCGTACCTCAACAAAGGAGTACTGGTTAGGGATGGAGATGATTACGACACTACGAGTTCTACAGCAGTCGCATTTGCTCTGGGTTTGGAACGGAAAGACCATTTCTCCACTGAGCTCTTTACAGTTGAGATTAAATATCATCTGACGGTGCAACCATTTAATGGCCGGGCATCGAAAGTCGCTAACGCCTATTTTAAGTACAGAGGCGTCTGGTTGTCATAAAGTACTCTAATGTAATTTTTTTCCGGAGGATATCATCCACTGAGTGGTCTGCAGTTAAAGTGAGTGCCCCGTCATCACAAGGGGGAAATGGGCAATGGAAGGATGCGTAAGAAACCACTTGAAAACACCTAAAGAAGGCTGTTAAGGAGAGGCACTTTTCGCCAAAATGATCAATGAGGCAAAAAGTGTCTGGGCAGAGGAACTTATCTCTTCAGGTTGCCCTCCAACCCAGGTGACAAACCTACCCTTAAAGAGTTAAAATATTACCCACCGAGCACTAACTAAACCTATGGGCACTTCAAGGGGTTAAAATTTAAAACCTTCCTTGGGTCATGTTTCCTAAGGGGAGACCCAAGTAAGGTAGGGAATAGTTTGTGCTTTTTATATATTCGTTCTATTCTAGTAGTCCTCCGCTTTGCTGATTTCTCCTTTTCATAAGATATTATTACTAAATTAAATATACCTATTAAGATTTGGTCTAATTGCGTTGAATGAACCAGCCTAGAATAGCTACTACCTATTATTCTACGTAATATCACAGTATTTGTTGGTAATTATAACTAATAAGGTATTCTGTTGGCTAGATCGCGCACTACAGTTTTTATGGCCTCGAAGTGGCGCTTTGGTCCAATAAGATGCTCGAAGGGTTGGAGTCAAACTCGGCGAAAATTTCGTTTTCTCCGACCATTTGCAATCAAAGGGTCTGTCGATCCTACAAGCTATATACAATGTACTAATTGAACTTTTGAACCGGTGAGGGTATCTCTTGAAACACATTATTCTAGTGATACTTTACAGCATTGAGGAGGACTGGTGTAATAACGATTTACCTTGTTCTGTAAGTTGAGTGCTGCCCCAGGGCCCCGATCGGCCCACTACTTCATGCAGTATAATGGCAAATGAGTAGACGTCACCCTTTTGCGTCCCTCTGGGATGACAGTGGGCCCCTTTTAGCAGTTCTGGTGCCCTCCACAGTTTCCTTCTCGTCTCCAGGCTGTCGTCTTCCTCCTGGCCAGCTGTATAAAGAACGTGGAATACTTTGAATAACTACTGGTAATAATTTCCACATTAAAAGGTTCTTAAACTTTTACCAAAAAAAAAAAAAGGATTTTTAGAGAGTGTTTCATTCTAAACCTCAGGTGTTCAAATGTAATGCGAGTTGCAACATTAAACAATACTTATAGACATAATAAACATAGGGTATAAAAAACACAAAACAAAACGGATAACAAAACACAACAAAAGTAACTTTCAACTACCCAATGGGTCCCTCGGACAAGAAGTCAAACCACTTCACAAATTTTTTTCATGCTATTCTCAATAAAAAATACATGGCATAAAACCGGATTCGAACCCAGGATCGCTCGTGTGGATTAGCCCAAACCACTCGGCCACCGCGGTCCCCATGAATATAAAAAGGACACAAAGATAAATTGACGCAGAGACAAATCACGATTTTGTATTTAAAAAGTATCGTACCAGTGTGAAAAGCTAAGCAAATATATAACCATCAAAAAATATAACCATCTATCTTTTGAAAAAATATATTTTATTATTTTTACCTATCACTTTTAATTTTAATATAGAGTTTTAGATAAAAGCCCAATTAATGAATTAATCTTTATTTTTATACTTAATTTTATATAATTTTTAATTTTTATTATAATTAACTTTTATCTGATCTTCTAAGAGCTCAATTATTTTATGCTTTAAAAAATACACAAATGTACAGTCTATTTGACATGCTTATATTTCATACCATCTTCTAATGCTTTAAAGAGAGGAATAATCTGAAATTGAAAAGATTAATTTGAAGTTATAAAGTTGAAAGTAAAAAAACTAAATTAAAATTAAAAAAGGCTAATTTAAAGTTAAAAAACGTTAATTTAAAATTAAAAAGTATATTTGAAGTTAAAAAAGATCAATTTGTAATTAAAAAGACTAATTTTAATTTAAAAAAGGGTTTCTTGAAATTAAAAAGGTTAATATGAAATTAAAATTAAATTTAATATGAAATTAAAATTTGAAATTTAAAAAGGTTAATATGAAATTAAAAAGAGTTAATTTGAAATAGAAGAAGTATATTAGAATTAAAAAGGGTTCATTTGAAATTAAAAGGCTAATTTAAAGTTAAAAAAAATTAATTTGAAATTAAAAAACAATATTTGAAGTTAAAAAAGGTTAATTTGAAATTAAAAATGTTAATTTGAAATTTAAATGGTTAATTTGAAGTTAAAAAGGATTCATTTGAAATTAAAATATGATAATTGGAATATTAAAAAAAGTTAATTTCCAATCAAAAATTATATTTTAATTCGTTTGAATTTAAAAAGGCTAATTTGAAGATAGAAGGGTTAAGATAGAAGGGGGTTTGACCTAAAAAAAAGTATATTTGAAGTTAAAACGTGTACATTTGAAATTAAAAAGTTCTAATTTGAAATTTAAAAAAGTTAATTTGAGGTTTAAAAGGGTTAAGTTGAAATTCAAAAGGGTTAGGATGATGTTAATAACCCACTCTTGCAGATTCACGAGGATCCGGAAGATTTGCATTTCAATAAATGTGACTACTCCCCTTGAAATTTCTGTTTTTGGGAGAAATACAAATGTTTACCGATAGGTGAAAAGCAGTTCAACTATTAGATCGTCTTAGATATGGTTCTTCTGAAAAATGCCAAAGCTGTCCTTTGAAAGAATAACAAACAATCACAATTTGAAAATCAGCTAAATTTGTCCACGTTTTTTTAAAAAAGAACGTATCACCTTGGGGCCTACAAATTTTTGCAGCGTCCTGAAAATTCGTCTCAGGATGTCTTAGACCCATGGTCGAGGTTATTTAATTATATGGAAATAATTTAAAATTAACATTATGCCCGCTCATTCGTCTTTCGGTTGCGAGGTCTTGCTGGTAGCGCACTATTCAATGACTTGATTGTAAGTGGATGCAGGTTCATACCCATGATCATATTATATGTGTTACGCTAAATGGATAAAATTCACATGACAATGAAAACTTATTTGCTTTAAATGAATATATCAGCTGTTTTTTATATTAAAGAAAGGCTGTATATTTGTGTGTGTAATGTCCTCCAGAATGTCGATGAGCAGTAAGATCTCAGGCAGTTTTACCGATGAAGAGAAGGAGCATATAATGTTGGTCCAGAGGATCGAGGACCTTCAGCTCTGTGAGACAGATGTTCTCGAGAACACGTCCTGGCTCTTCACGAAGATCCGCGAGTTTTCGTCTTTCATCAACTCGAAGGAAGACCTCGGCTCGGTCCGCTCCCTCCAGATCATCCTCAACAAGCTCAACTACGCGTTCGACAAAGCTGTCGAGATGGCTAACACGATCCACGTCCTCAGGGAGAACTTGGCATCCCTCAAGGAATACCTGGACGAGAAGTCCGACTCGCTCAAGCTGTCTCTGTACGACAGGTCCGTACTGGAGGACGCGTACTTCCTCAACATCCGCACTTACGAAACCCGCGTCACAGAGCTCGGCGACAAGATAATCGATTTGCAAAAAGAACTCCGCGACAAAAATAGAGAATTGCAAGTCGTGCTCAAAGGGTTCGAGTTACGAGACAACAACAGGTATTGCGTTATCAACTGCGCTTTGCTAAAAGAATGAAGTTTTTCAATAGAAAAGTTTCTAATTGGTATTTAACAATTTTGGTACAAATACATTTTACTTCTAACGTTGTTGGTTTTTAAATCGTACACAACTTAATGTAAGTCCAAATATCAGTTAAAAGATTGGTTAGAAGGCACCTGATGTGATACAAATGCTACCTAAGTTATCTTTTAAAAGAAGCTTTTTAGCAAATGACTATGTAACGTGTTTTTGAAGAGATGATAAACGCAAATTTGCACCATCCCGTTTTTATTTGGATGGAAATTGAGGTATAACACTTTAATTAATTGGAGTTGATATTAAAATAGCTCTTTTAATTTTAAAACAATCCAAGAAATGAAAATTTCTTTCATACGGTTATTTTCTGTACAATGTAAAAATGATAAAATACTGCGGTGATTAACTTTTTTTTATTACCTTTAAATTCATGGAGGCCAAAATCAGTTATCTGCAGTACCCAGCGACTGTCGACGAGGCAGTTACTTGATCGTAGATTACCGTGGGATACGATTTCACTGTCATGCAGATAGATCATCCCCTGTACAAGATTAGAAGATTAAGGTTGATCCGATTTGAAGAAGAAAAAAATAGTGGTACAAGTAATAGTTTATATTTTGGTCGTTTCGTTTCTCCATCGGCCTATTCTCGCTGCTTAGTGTGTAGGAGGCGATTTTGGCAATTATCCACCTTTATTTCAACTCTACGCATTTGACAGACATAAAAAGGACAGAACGAACAGACAAACTACTTGTTATATTAAATTTTCGTATAAACTAATAAGGTAAGGTAGGTGCCCTCGGAGGATCTGACTCGTGGGAATGGGATATATACCCGATCTCAATATCTCACTTAAGTCATTTAGATTCACCTGGAGACCGAACCGTGCCACTTTCTCTTTCTCTCTAGTATATCCACAATATATAACAAACCAACTAATGAAGAAGGCGAAATGAGTATGACACCAAAGCAGCTGAGATAGGCGGACATGAAGATTAGAAATGGCCGAACTTCATGTACCCTATAGATGTCACCAAGAGATTTCACAAGTAATACCTTAATTATATCTGCAACGAGAGACGAGACGAACATGTTGTCCAGGTGAAGATCTTCATTGGCCAGAACATCCTCTAAACTCCCTCTCGCGCAGTACTCCGTGAATATGCAAATATTTCCAGCGTCTACGCAAGCTCCAACAAAAGTTATGATGTTCTCGTGGCGTAGCTCTCTGATCTATAAGGTTACATGAAAATTTCGGATAATTTTTATTTTGGAAGTAAACAATGGAAAATTACCTGTTTAAGTTCCTTCCTGATGTTGCGCGTTATGTCAACGGATCTTTTGTGGACAGCTTTGATTGCCACGGTGTTGCCCTTGTAGAAGCCGATGTTCGTGTAGGCTCGTTTGGGGCTTACCTCCGGTGCGATGCTCCGCAGGATGCTCTGCCGGCAAATCTGCCCCGAGCACAGCTGAACAAAAAGTATTTGTTGTCGCGATGACATGCTGACACTAAAATATATTTCTGTGATACGAAGGCCAGCATCTAATTCATTCCGTTAACACGTATTAAAAACACGCGCTCACCATCATGCTTTTTTCCCCTTGACCGTTTGGGATTATCGTGACTTCCCGCATGTCGATCTTCCAAAGCAGGCAAGCCAATTTCTGCTCGTATCTGTAATGTCTAACAAAAAGGTCTCATTTAAAACTCGTGCCTACTGTATTTTTAAAATTAAAGGTTTTATTGGAAAAATATATCCTAACTAGAGATCAGTCACATTGTTTAAAATAGGTCAGGAAGTCAATTGAACTTTATTGGTTGATTAATTAAGTGTTAAGTACTGAAGACGTTCAATCGAATTTTTTGTTGTTAAATGAACAGCACACCGACGAATAAAATATCAAATATCAGCTTATTTACTCACTTAAACGCGAAAAGAGCTGCGATGAAAGAGAGAGATGCAAGACCTCCGAGGATGACGATGACCCTCCATCGGTCGCTGTGACACTTGCGCCCGTTAAAACCGCAAACGGGCTCTGCCAGTGGAACTTCTCCCCCGATCCATTGGATCTTCCGTGACTCGTTGAAATACTTGAACTCCTAAAAATGAAAGCAAACCGTTTTTGTCTCTAATCCATGGTGTAAAACAAAATTGTTTAAAGACAATCACGGATTATTTGACTAAAGCATTTGGTTTGATTCTGCAATCTTAGATGAATTCTTTTTTTGTTTAGTAATGTACAATATTATATTACTTATCATAATTAACTAAAACATACTGTATATATAATTACAAAGAACCACCGGCCCTATTTATAGCGAAAGTCACTCCCTTTTCCTCCAGGTTTCTTGGCTTTTTGTTCCTTTACGCCAAGAACGTTCGTCCATAATTTTGGCTTGCTTATCCTCTCTGTTGAGACTGTTTGAATCTTCACAAACTTATAAAAGAACACGGTTGTAAAAAAATAATAAAAAATAAATAAAACGTACAGCCCAACCACTGAAGTTGAAAATATGACGAATCGAATCGAGAGACATTACCACTTGACTCCTTGTCGTCACAAGTAAAAGCCATTGAGATATGCCTGTTGTCAAACGCGTTTCGGTGTTCTATCATCAGTTTCTTGTGCAAAGTTAAATCCTCAAGTTAAATTGTAAAATGTTGTGTTGAATTTTTGATTTGGTGAATCTGAAGTTTGAACCAGTTACAAAACGGACGAGTTGACTAAATAACAAACAGACCAACCACCGAAGATGGCGAAATGCCGACTCATGTTTGGCATACCAAACCCGCGAGGATAACATAATACCGATAATGGCCAAAATCGGAGACGTCCAAACAAAAATTATGACAAACCAAAAAGCTCTCATTAAAAGATAAAGCTTATACAAATTAAAAGTGATTAATTACGAAAGAAAAAGAAAATAATTAAAAATTCCCATAGAAAATGAAAGATCAAGAATGGTGGATGTATTGAGCGAAACCCTATGACCAGACATTTCCGTTTCAAAATTTATTGTAGGCAGTTTTTACAAACATAATAAAAAATACAATTTAATACAAATATGTCAATAAATTTATACAAACTCGATAAAAATTAGTTACTATCCCGAGCATAGGATAATGAATTATTATTTGATTTATTTTATAAATTAATTATTAAGTATTGGCTTAATTCTCCAGTGAAAAAAGCTTTATTATCGTAAGTATATTTTGGACTAAACAGTGTTTGAGCAGATTGTACGCTGAATTTCTATTCAAGTTCAACTATTAGAGCGAAACTCGGTTTTATCAGGACAAAGGCGATATTGAGGTATCTTAACCATCTCTTGTTTCCTACAACGATGATAGGGTCTTCTCAACAAGGGTTGTTTGTAAATATTCCAACAATATTTGTTCATTTGTTTGATAATACAGTGCTGTACAATAGTTTTGATTAATGGAAACTATTGGTTCCTAATTAAATTTCAACAAGCACTTAATGAAATATGTAATTCCGAATTTTGTGGGGAAATTCTCAATATATAGGTCATGATCTATCGCAGTGTCCGACATTGTTAAAACCTACATGCATACTTACGTGGACTATGATAAAATCACCATTCTTGTCCTTATCGATTTGTCCAAAGCCTTTTATTAACTTACAAGGAGACGACCAAGTGGATTTACACCAAAATATTTTTGGTGATTTTACATTCCAAAATATCGGAGACGTGTTCGTGCATGTTTGAAGATTGTCTTGACGTAGTTCCTGCTTTAGCCTCCTTTTAGTTTGTGGTATCGGCGGATTATTATTTATGTGTGGTTAATAGTGACCGTTAATCGATATTTATTTAGAAATCGTGAGATGCGGTCTGGTGTGATGTAGGTTTCAGAAAAACATTTTCTTTATCGTGCCAACGTTTCGATCTTTATTGAGA